ACATCGAAATGTGTTTTTATTTTATTTACAAATCCATATAAAAGAGTGTAAATACAATAGTAACACAAGAGTTCAGCATGCAGTGATGTAACTCTTACTACTGAGGAAACCGGCCTCACGGTGCTTCCCTAAACTAATATTAGCCAACAGGAAAGTTTGGTTTTTTTCATCAGAAACTCATGTGCTTGTGTTCTCAATTGGACACATCATGCAAATGTTTCTGGACAGTTTAACCAAAAAACACCTTTCCTGCAAATGACAGGTGGTTACCAGATGAAAGGGTCCACTGTTGTCCACACCTGGCCAAATAACCCCACAACATTTTGCATGCAGCCTTGGGTGTCCCCAAATTAGGGTCATAAATCAAGAGAAAAGGAGTTAGTGAGGGCGTGTCCCACGTCGATACAGCCAATTTAAACACTATTCCAGACAAACATAAGGTTCACTGGTTTGTCCTCCATGTTGGCCATCTCACTATTCTCTGATATGCTATAGGCAAAACTATGAATTATTAAACAAGAAAAAATAATAAAAATAATATTGATTACCAGCTCTGTTAGTGATCTTCCTACTAAACATGCATTTACATTGTTAGAGATAAGAATTAAATGTAAACCTAGAAAGAATAAAAAAAGAGTGCCCTGCTTTCTTTGAATAGTTGTCTATGGTGTTGGGTGGCAATATAGGGTTTTAAAAATATAATAAGAGTACATCAGATGATTTCAGACTGCCCACAAATTCCATGGACTTCCATTTCTAGTAAGTCTACGCCTTTTGATATGATTTTAATTCATTACCAACGCCCAGTGCAGCACTCCCTATTTCTTTCTTAATTATTATTACATATTAACATGCTTAGTTTTACATTCCATTTAGCCAGCTGTTCTACTGGTCTAAAAACAGCCTCAGATCAGGATAGGACCGAAACTGAAACTTTAATCTGTTCACTTGTGTAATGTTATTCTGTGTGATTATTATGGCCTTGGAGCAGAGTTGTTATTGGTTGCAAACTGTCACGAGATGCAAATGGGGTCAAACGAGGGATGAACGCGTGTTAATTACAGTTTGATGAGGAGATAATGAAAAGCAATCGATAATCTGTTCAGGAACCTCAATCTACTCATGCCCTGTGTGTGGGGGAGAAAGTCGAACCACATGGGATGGGACCCCTTGGTGGTAAAGCACTTAACATCACACACACACATACAAAACACACTAAACCACATGAAGAACGAAGAGGCACAGGTGGAAGCATGTGAGACAGACAGGGTGCAGAAACGAAAGGTTGAGTGCATGTTTCTCTGAGCATGGGGAGTGTTTTTAAGTGTGTGTGTAGACAGTGTGTGTGAAACACGGAGAGTTGGAGCAGCAGAGTTGACAGTGTACGCGTGGCAGTGTTTATGGGAGAGACCAAAACAGAGACCCAGCCCAGTCACAGCAGCGGAGAGAGAGATGGCAGTGTGCATGAAAACAGACCCCTGTGTGTGTGTGCATGTTTCTATAAGCTTGCATTTCCACAAAAAAAAAAAAAAAAACAAGACTTGTATTTACCTATTGTTCTGAGTTTTTCGGGAAATTGGCGAGGCTTTCGTTTTCTTACTGGAAAAGTCGTCCCTGTACGGTAAAACAGACGCATAACCGTGTTCTGCCTCTATAGACAAAACAAAACAAAATGTTAATTTATTCTGGTGTTTGCTGCAAGAATTAAAAAAATGTAAGCTGTCCATCAGTCACTCGGGGAAATGGTGAAACATGAGATAGCTTTATAGAGGCTAAGTCATTTCAAGAGGAACAAAACGTGATCGATCATCAGAGTAATCGCTTGCAATTTATCAATATAGCACTGTATAGCCTTCAGCAAGGTCTAATAGTGTAAAACAATCAGTGTTACATTTGCATTGGTGAGTATCTGTCATTATGATACTGCCTCATATTGTCAATGTCACTCTTGTTTACTCATTTCCGAAGAGCTAATACGAATACACACTGCAGTTATGAGCATACACAACACATGAGCTGTATTGGAAATATTGAAAGCTCAGTTTATAAACACGTGACATACTTTAAATAATAAAGTAGAGCTATTATTTTCTAGGAATACAGGCTGCTAGGTCCACTTTGCACCCATCGCCCCATTGTCTGTAAAGTGACATCATACACTGCACTAAGGCAGGGCTCGGTAAAACTTTACATAAGATACAAGATTAAGCTAGCTGCTGTCCTAGCAATGCCCCATTCAATAGTATTCAGTAGAAATGCTGTCAACTTGTCAGTTTGGCTGGAAATACCTCTGTCTCTTCTTTCCAAGTACTCTGCAGCCTCCAGCAGAATAAGAAGAGAATTAAGTTCCATCTCGTCGTTGTCTCGATATAAAAAAATAGAAAATATCTATTTACACAAATGTACAAGTCATGGGATTATGTAATGGAAATTTTAAAAACTGTTTCAGAGCGATGAACGTGTGCTGCTATATTCAGTTCTGAGTCTTGGTGATTCCAAACTACAGTATCAACAGCACCTAACTAAAACTCAGGGAAGTGAGTGATGGCACGTCTGCCCAATGGGAAACGCCTGTGGGCGGGTTCTCCGAGTATGTCTCAGCCTATGGGCGGGCTGAAAACACGGTGTGGTGTGAATTGATTGGCTTGCGTGCAAAAGGAATACCCTAGCAACAGCCTGAGTTGCCCCGCCCACCACCCAGCTGATTGGTGTGAAACAAGCGACCTCTGATTGGCTGGAAAGAATTCTGGGCGTGTGTCAACATAGTTGAACTTGGGCTGTTGTTTGGGTAGAAAATATTTGATAACTACTCAAAAGTATGGTCTTAAATGTGGACCGTGAAGTAAACTACAACGCGACATTGAGTAAACAAAGCTGTGTTGCAGTCTGTATTTCCCACAAGAGTGTGTGACATTGCAGAAATACCCACAGCGTGTGTGTGTTCGTTCATTTCCTGTCCATGTCATTATGAAAGTCCTGTATGAGGCTGCAGAAACTGATTTGGTTTAGGAGTGCTGAAGAAATAAAGCATGTTTTTTAAGACAAATACGCCAAACATAATAGGACACTTTTAGTTATTGATTAATTGTAAATGTTATTATAAAGATAAACATGACAAACATATTCTAAAATAAAAATGACAAACATATTCTAGTTACAGATTCTGAATAAATATTGTTGGTATGACAATACCATTTTAATAACTCAACAAATTGTAATGGACTTTGTTCAATTTTTGAAACCAAACATAACAAAAGATTAACAATATTTAGCACGATGCCATCCATTTTGAGCTGACCCAAGGAAGGTCTTAACATCTGAATTTGATTATCTGTTGTCTGTCTGCCTGTTTGCATTGCCAGATAAGATATTTCCTTTATGCTGATTCAGTATCCATTGCCATGGAAATGACAACAGATAACTCATGACAAAATATGTAACGTTTATTTACGGTCCTGGGATGTAACACAGTCCAACAGCCTAGATCATTGGTTTAATTGTCAAAGTTTAATTTAGTCTAATCAAGCCTGATGTAACCAGAATCATGACTGACTACTTTTGGCTCCAGATCAAGTACTAGTGCCTAATTTCAGAGGGTAAACTCCAAACAGAACAACGCTTTGTTGCTTAGTTTTCACACAAAATCCTCAGTTGTGTGATATCCTTGCAGCTGAAATGTAGGCATGAGCAAAGTGTCACTTTGCAAGAGCAATAGAAGAGTTATGCATATCTCAGCAGGAATTCCTGCAGAGTACAAAGTGGGTTTCTCTGCATGGCAGGCAGTTTATATCGCTTGCAGCCAGATGTTTGTGCCTCAGATCGAGTACACACTGAAGAAATCGCAGAGGCTTTATGATGAGGGAAGAAACCTTTTAGTGTGAATGATGAGGAAAAGGCCCGTGAGGATCAGAACCACAAACTTTGTTTTTGTTGAAGTTTCTTGGAAACAAGTGTCATGAAAGATCCTCATGGGGCATGTAACGCAGAGAGTAAATCATGGATTTCAAGATTTCTGACGACACAAATTGCTGGTTAAATGTGTTGCTGTCAGCTTCTACATGTGAACAAATGTGCAAACAATCCTAGAATGTGTTAAGCTGTGTAAGATTTCCACTAACAGCCACACAAATAGAAATATATTGGTGGTGTTAAAAATGTACCTTGTGATAAGACAGAGTGCTGTACAGTTGCCACTTTTTACATGTGAAGACAAAATGACTGTGATATACTCAGAGGAGTTACTAATATTTTGTATACCATTGATACAATTTGGTTGGATAAAATATAAGAAAAAGCTCTCTCACTATTAACACCACCACAATAATTTACACCTTTAACTACATCCTCCAAAATAACCATAAAGTTGAAAGAAATATCTCTCTAAAACTGAACATTATGTCATGACAGTATGAATAATTGTAGGGCTGTATTATACTGCATTCGTTTTACCTAGGCATAATAATTTACTGGCAAGTGTAAGTGGTGTACATGTTAAAATGTTAAATGATTTTGCAAGGCATTCAAATCGCAGGGTGGATGTGGATGATTTACAGAAAGTATTATTATATGTAGAACAGCCAGCTAAAACCATGCAGAAACCACATTCAGCTGCAAATGAAAATGTACAAATATATTTATTTAGGCTGCATCAAGAACTTTTATTTCCTGTCTGGCCTGCCTTTTGCTTGACATAATTTCAGTGTCATCTGAATGGAGTGGTAACACCTGTTTGCTTTACTATTTCACAAATGCATTGTCGCCCTCATGCAGAAGATGAACATGTGGAAGGCTTCTATGTTGTGTTAGCTATCTTTGTCCTCTTTAAAACCATCTTATGATGCAAGGCTGCCTTCAGTGATATGATTTATGATCTCTCCTCCCATTTAATTTGAATGTGCTATACACAGATCATAACAGGGGAGATATTTATTGCTCTTTGTGTTTGTGTCACCTTTGAGGCTTCATGAAATAATGTTTTATTGTGAGGAGGTTTGATAGCTTGCATGTTCCTCACAGAAACAAGAGACCGGATCCGCCATTTTACATCCTTTTTTTTAAAAGGCCGTTGTACAGTCATAGTGAAAATGTAACACATAAGTGCAGCTAAGCTATTGCACGCTCTGTTCAAGCCTGATACAGTGTTTGGGCTACACCTCATGTCTATGTCTGGGTTAATTAAAGAGACGTTATGCAACTTGTACACCTCTTATCATATGCCCACATATGCAGTGACGTCGATTCTCTCTGCCACTGAACTTTGTTCATCTGAAGCCGATTTCAGATTGCAGGGAGCCCACAGGTTTATCGAGTCACATGGGGTGTTTGTCTCTTCGGATTTTTGTTGTGTGAGCATTTGTTTGACCTTACTTGAGGTCAATGCAATCGAGCAAATGCGCATGAGAAACTTGACCTTGAACCTTTTATGTAAGCAAGCGTTCATCATTCTGTGAATGTGATTATTTCTGAGCTGTTGGCATTCATTCAGCCTGTATAGTTTTAGAAGTCCTGTTTCCTCCCTGAACTGAACCTTTAGAAAGATGTGGCTCTGTGTTGTAATTATTCAGTGACTGACATGGTTGGACATTCTCAGTTACAGTAATAAAACAAACCAAGAATCTTTATAGAAAGGTGTTAAATATTTTATTCTGTTCAAACAGAGACAAAGGAAGAACTCAGACCTTGTGTTCATTCAGAATGCAAAAGACTAATTTATGTTTTGAATTTCAGCCTGAATCTCATTTACAAGATATCTTAAAATGGAAACTGTCATGTCAACGTGTGCAAGTATCTGTCATCATCTTTTGCAAATGCATGAGCATTTTCACAGCCATAAAGAAGCCTGGTCATTGACTAAAAGGTCATATCAGCTGGCTAGTATGTGTTCATGGTTGTGCAATCCATATAGTGTTTGCAACATGTATGAATAGTTGTTTTTATATTAATGAATTTAATAATGTCCAAATAACAAATGAATGGAGTACATTTATCTCCTAACCTGCATTAGAAAACAGTTTTATCCATCTAACCTTTTAATGTTTAATTTAAATATAATATGATCAGAATAGTCATCATGCTCGTGTGTTTTAGGTCATTGAGCCAAAAGGGGAACACATAAACTGAGAACAGGTCATGTTCTAAAGCGCTCATTACAGTAGAGACATCCAACCATCCTTTTGCATCATATGAAAGGAAATAGCCTTTGTCCCTCCCGCTGCATGTTTCTATTTATAGACTTATCATCTGCATGCTCTCTGATCATAGTGGCTCAGGCCTTGCTTGCTGACGCCCCGGGCCAGTAAGCCAAACGACTACACTCTCCACTCTTTCCTTGTTTTCTTCCATCCATCGCTTCATCTGAGCCAAACATCTCTATCCTGTCCATCCTACCGGTAACCAGCTGGCCTCAACAACAACATTTATGCTCAGAAAGGCCAGATCTGTGCAGTAAAAGAGAGCAATATGAGCCTTTTTGGTATCTACCAAGTAAAGCTTTTGATAATGATTTGATTTTAATATTTAGGGGTTTTGTTTCTAGTTTGGTTCTGTACCACAGTTTTTGGTAAGCATACTTCCCCAAATTCCACTATCATATATTCCTATTTGTTTAATTTTGATCAAAAATACATTTGTTATATTTAGAAGCTGCCAGCTTTGCTGACTATGGATAGAATAATTTCAGAAACAACTGAAACTACAGGCTTCTTCATTGGGGTCTGCTCTCATTTCCCCTTTCCCTTGTTTACTTGAACATTATTGGCCTACTTGTTTGAAGTCGCATTTAATAAACACCACACTGTGACCTGTGCTGCAGCTCTGCAGAAGCCTTCAACATGAAATCACTGAAAACAGACATTATTTATCAATACTCTTTATTTTTCTAAGAATTAAATATAACAACATGTGTATTCTTCAAGGTGCAATCCAGCCCAATGCAATAATCATTGATCATAGAGGGAATCAATTCAATGAAATGAAAATGTTTTAATTTAAGTATAAAAAGTCCTCCTTCCTCTTCTAGTAATGAGTGAGCGACAACATATCAACAACATGTGTTTTCTGCTTCCTGAGCCACAGACTCAAAGTGATAATCCCCCAATCAAAGTTATGTTCCCAGGAAATAACCCAAATGCTTTCAGTATGTGAGTGGGGGGCGGCTCCATTTTCTACACAAGGCTGCTGTCAGTCTCATTTACAGTCATGCTTAAGGCTCGTAAAACCTTCAACAGTGAATAGTGGAGAGATTTAATCCTAAAAGACAACAGTAAATAGTGTGGGGCCAGTTTGTGACATATTTATTTTCCTACTCCTCTTTAACCAGGATGGTCTCACAGAATCTAATCTCCACCGTCTCAAGAAAGACAGTTAATTGTAATGTGCATTCTATGAGTTAAACCTAACCCATTGAGCTACATCCTGGTTTAAGTCCATGGTTAAGAAGGAAGAGGATAAAGGGATTCCAGTGTTGGGGAGTTGTTTATCTTGTTTACGCTAATTGTTTAC